ATAAATTAATAATGTATAATACATGAATAAAGTATATCTTACATGTCAAAACTTATATCGATCTATAACATCGACATCGTCTTGTTTTGTCTACGGTTATCTATTGTATTTTAAATCTTGTCTTATAAAGATTTGAATTTAGTTACTCTTTTTTGGATTTATGGTTAAAACTTATTAATTTTGATTTACTCGTGGCATTTATCATTGATGTCACGTATGTTTCAATTTAAAATTTTACGCTTGGTCATTCATTTTAATTTCTAAATAATTTCGCGTAAAACTTATAATTATTAAAAAACATAACTTTTTTAAATTACGACGGGTTTCGACCCGTGAAGGTTGGGTTTAACTTTAAACCCACAATAGACCCGTCTATCATAAACCCACAAGTTTGGTTCCTTAAGATCAAGAACCGTTGGTTGACGGGACGAGAGCGGGTTTTGCTAGAATCCGCAGGTTTACGACCCGCGCACACCCCCTCCTTATACATGAGATTATTAGTTTAACCCAATATTAAAATATTATTATCATCATTAGTCATCAACTTAAAGACTCAAATCCCATTGATAATCAAAGGACTAGTATTTAAACATAAAATATACAACACCAATTTTTACAATATAAATACAAATCAGTAATGGCCTCTCATATACAAGCATTTTTTGTTATACCAATCAACATGTTTGATGTAGTGTTTGTAAACGTTTATAAAAAGCAGAAGCTGGTGATTATGGATTAAGTTAATAATAAGTGTTTATTTTTAAAAGTTGTGAGTGTTTACAGATTTCATGAAAAAATTAATTTCTAGCAACTTATCGTAATAGAAGTTGGCCCAGAAGTGCTCTTAAACATCTTAAAATCAGCTTATTTTAAGAGAAGTAGAAGCAAAAGTTGTTATTGCAAACACTTCAAAGGTGATTCTGAGCCCAAAAAGCTTAGAATCACTTTTAAAAAGGTTTTGCAAACACCACCCAAGTCATATTTATACGCATTTTTGTTTTTTCAATTTTTATTTGATGAATCGACCGGGATCAATAACTAGTCACGGGTTGGTCAGCCAGTCGATTCGATCAGATTTATGAATTGTGGGTTAACCAAGCAATACTTTCTTTTTAATTTTTCGAATACTAAGCAAATACTTTAAAGAGGCCAATTAGATCCCTATTTTTCTTCTACTCTCTCTAGTTACTTTCTTGATATGTGAGGTAGGGCCCCTAATGTTAACTCAATTGGCATTTTGCCCCCCCTTAAAGCTAAGACTAATCATCATTTTTCCTTTGCATCCCTCTTTAATTGTCTTTTTTCGCAATGATTTGCATTTTACTTCCGAATCCAGCTTCTGCTTCATCTAAGCAAAAGTCTTGGTTATCAAATCAGTGTTGGTGGATGATTGGCATCAATCTTTGGATCTATTTATAATTCCTCTCTCTCTCTCTCTCTCTCTCTCTCTCTCTCTCTCTCTCTCTCTCTCTCTCTCTCTCTCTCTCTCTCTCTCTCTCTCTCTCTCTCTCTCTCTCTCTCTCTCTCTCTCTCTCTCTCTCTCTCTCTCTCTCTCTCAATACATACATTGTGATCAAGAAATATCAAAATTCAAGTCTCAATCATTTGTCTAGTAAAATCAATTCCTATATAACATGTTAATAGGCTACTAAATTTTTAAAGAGATGCAAAAGAACCTGAAAAACATTCGTTATCTTATAATAATGATAATAATAAATTAATAATTACTATTAATCAATATTAGTGTAATTTCTAAATATTTAGTATCGATTAGTCAATATCTAATTAACTTTACTTGATTCTAATTAATTTGAATTATACTTTGAGATAATCGTACACATTAAAACTAGCCCATAATACATAATTGAATTAATCAGTCATATAATACATTATTATTTTGATCTAAATAGTAAATACAACGTAAAATACATGCATATAGTTTAATATAAAAATTAAACGTAGTAATAAATTAAGTTAATAAATTAAGTTGCATTGTATTAGAGCTTAAAAGTTTCAATCACTTTTCATTGTTTACGCCCTGCCGACAAAAAGGTTGTCGAGTGGTGGACCACATTGTGATTTGCGACTTATATTGGGAAAAATACAAATTTCGTCCCTCAAGTTTGTATCGATTTCACATTTGGTCCCTATGTTTATAAAAAACACATTTTGTCCCTTATGTTTCGAACATTCAACACTTTTAGTCATTTCCGGCAATTTCCCGTTACGGAATCAAGCGTGTGCCCATCACTGCTTTAACTAAAGGACTAACTGTAAATTGACGAAAATGGCCAAAAGTGTTGAATTATTGGAACATGAGGGACCAAATGTGTTTTTTGTGAATATAAGAGATCAAATGTGAAATTGGTGCAAACTTGAGGGATGAAAACGGTAATTTTTCCAACTTATATGAAGGACAAATTACACTTCGCCCCTAAAAATTTCAAAAATTCACACTTTCTCCCCTAGAAATTAAAAAATGAGACGTTCCCCTTGCAAAATATGTTTATGTTGCACTTTGCCTAAGTCAAACCCCCGGCATATTTTCTTTACTGGAATTGACAAAACTCCATCCACTCAAAGTGTATTGTTGCCTTCATTTCAGATTTCTCACCAAATCCAAGCCGTAATATCATTCTCTTTTGGACAACAACCATCAAACAATCCACTCTCATTTCATCAAACAATTTCAGAACACAAAATTATGGATTTTTCTATGAGGGCAAAAGGAAATGATATCAAGGCTTGGATTTGGTGAGAAATGTGAAATGACGGCAATACCCTTTGAGTGGATAGAATTTTGTTAATTCCAGTAAAAAGTACGCGGTAAGATTGACTTTGGGGCAAAGTGCAACATAAATATATAAGTGCACGGGGGACGTTTCTTTTTTAAATTTTTAAGGGGGGAAGTGCTAATTTTGTGAAATTTGTAGGGGACGAAGTGCAATTTGTCCTTATATAAATAGCATTAGGACTAGTTTGGCATATTACTCAATAATTAATTACCATTTGAAATGTTATCTTTAGTAACATGAACTCATGAAGTATACATCATGTAGATTTTAACAGTTTGTCCACACACATCAATATGATTTTTTTTTTAAATGAATAAATTATTAAAAAAAAATTAATTGGTATATTTTACGCGGTGTAACATTGATTAAACCAGTAACGTGATGTTAATAAGGTTTCGAGGAATTATAGTAGATTTCGATCCTTCGCAACTTGCTCGGACAAACCATGAAATTGTTATTTAATCTCTATTGTCATGTATTTAATTAACTTGTGCTTATTCATATATAATATAACTTATTTCAATTTTACTTGACAATGAAATATAAATAAGCTGTACTTATTTCAACATGTTTTCTATAATTAGTAACCTACACAACTTAGGAGTGTTTTATAGGGCAAAGTTAAGTACTGTAACATAAATTTCATGTGTAGTTTTCAAACATAACATTCACATATAAAGTTGCTGCAATGTGAAGGAACACGTCATGCTGACATAAGTTTTACTGTTTCAATTTATTCCTGTTGGAAAAGTTATTAGTGACAATTGTTGTTGGTTAAATATCAATCTGCCTAAAAAAAAAAAATCTACCTAAATAAAATACATTTTTTTAAAGGAGGATGGTTACTGATTTCTCAATTAGCGAGTTCTAAAATGAACTATGTTTGTGCAATTTAATGTGAATACTTGTAAAATTGTATTCCAACTCGCTTAGTATTGTTGCTGGTTATTACATAAAACAAAATTCATCCAAACAAATTGAATAATATTTTTTTTAATTAACTTGAGATCCTTAATTAGTCGTCCAACATCATTTTAATGAAACGAAATTCATCGTTTTTGGCTGAGGTTATAAGTTTTTAAAAAGAACTTAAAAGATGTTTAAAAGCTTATAAGCTCTGTTTTGTAATTTAAAAAAAAAAATCTTAAAAATTCAGAAAATAAACTGCTTAAGAACAAATGAGATTTTTTTTTCAGAAAGTACATTTACCCAACATTTTTGTTTAACATCTTATAATGAATAAAAATAGCTTATAAACTCATTATCCAAACCATTTAAACCTTAGTTCTAAAAATAAGACGTACCAACTTATTAACTCTTAAAGCAGCTTATCAGACACAAGAGTTTATCAGGTTTTTAAAATAAGTTTAGCCAAACGATAGTAGTATTCTTGACCGTCATATATATATATATATATATATATATATATATATATATATATATATATATATATATATAGACACACACACACACACACACGAAGTCGTAACATATTGAAAATAAATGTACAGTAGAACTTCGATAAATTAATAACATCGCTTAAATAATCTTCCGGCCAACTCGGTAAAAATATATTAAATTATTAGTTCGTAATTTGATATTTTGCTAAATTAATAGAATTTTGTTAACCTCAGCTATATTAATTTAATAAGGTTTAACCATACAAGGCTGAGAAGTGAAAAGAACATATATAATAAATTAAAATAATTAGTCAAGAACACACTTGAGTACAACTAGGTTATTTTCAATGCCATGTTTACTTTAAACGCACTCCCTATAATAATAATATTGTGGCCGGGTAATAATTTTAACAGGTAATTAATAAAATATAGAAATGTACGTACAGAAACGCCGCTGCAGAAGAGAGTTGACAGACCAACCGGCAGCCCCCGCCCAAGTCTACGTGAAGAGTTTGTTACGTAATACATGTGTACGTACAAATCTCCAAACAAAAAACTCCTTTGTAATAATAACATAAAATACTAGCTACTACTACAACATGCCTACAAGGTGTTCGATAAAATGTCACTTCGTGGTTAGATGGGAATATTTGTGGGGCCTTATTACAGGGTCCATTTGACGGCTTCTGTCGGATCCCCAACAAGTCCCATGTTATATACTTATATATATATATATATATAGAGGATAGTACAAGTGAGAATATTTTTCTTGTTTAATTGTTACTTATCATAGAAAAGAAAAACATATATATATAATTATTAAATTTAATTTAATAATTAATAATATGGGGCACCATTCTTGTTGCAACCAGCAGAAGGTGAAGAGGGGTCTCTGGTCACCCGAGGAAGACGAAAAGCTCGTCCGCTACATCACAACACACGGCTACGGCTGCTGGAGCGAAGTTCCCGAGAAAGCAGGTTTTTTTTTTTTTTTTAAATTAATAATTCGTCGAATTATTTAATTCCCGGCCCATCGTAGAAAATTCGTCAAAATGTATATTTTAATTTTAATATGGTTATTGAAAAAAAGGTTTTTCCGGGTTTTTTTAGGGCTTCAGAGATGTGGGAAGAGTTGTCGTTTGCGATGGATAAATTACTTGAGACCGGATATCAGAAGGGGAAGGTTTACACAAGAAGAGGAGAAGCTGATTATTAGTCTTCATGGAGCTGTTGGCAACAGGTTTTGCTACTTATTATATTAATTACATTTATCTTAAATCTCTTTAATTTTGCATTAATTATATTCTAAATTACAATGCATATATATGTTATTGCAAAAGGACTAATATGCAATAGTTGAATTCCGAAGATACACTTATTTTTCGCACGTGGTTTCGTCGACTGAAAATACGAGTCCCCGATCGAGCTGTAGTTTTCACTTATTTTTGAAGATGGTGAGAAGCCAACGTCACAAAGTTTGTTAAGTAGAATGTTTTCATATGACAAAAAAATCAATGCAATCAATTATAATAAGTTTGAATTATTATACCACTTGTTTGTTTCAAGTTACTTGTCACATAATTAACATCAATTAAAAGAATTCCTTCTTCAGAAATTAGATGTTACACCTGGTTATTTACACTGAGTGAATTTGAACCGTAGATCTATAGATAATCACACACACACGTCTGTATGTATGCTTAGTGGGTAGTTATTTAATCAAATCTACGGTTCAAATCCACCCACTGCAACATCTAATTCGCCTTCCTTTTTCTACACATTTCAGTTTACTTTTCGTGCGCGCACACACACACACTCGTATTTCATGAAATACTAATTTTCAAGAAATATTTTTTTTTTGCAGATGGGCTCATATAGCGAGCCATTTGCCCGGAAGAACGGACAACGAGATAAAGAACTACTGGAATTCGTGGATCAAGAAGAAGATAAGAAAACCCTCGTCGCCAAATATCACAAAGACGATACCCAAATCCCAATTATTCACACACACACGAAACCATCATCAAGTACTAGATAATTTCTTGAATATTAACAACCAAGATAATTTGGCCGCAACAAAGTTGAGTACTACGAGTATTCAAGAAACCGGCGGCCTATTCCCTTTACCAATTAGTCCCTCATTCATGTTCGAAATCGGCTCTACTTTCGAATCCACTAACAACATTCCTCATACGATCTTTCAAGAAAACGAAGGACTAATGATGAATAATCAAGAAACATGGCAACTATTTAACAGGGAGACGGTCGAATATACGAGCTGTAATTTGACATTACCGATAATGGATAACTTAGATAATATAATGGTCCCTAATAATTGTGGGATTAACGTGGGAGGCGGAGGAGGACAAATCACAGCCGTTGATTGCATGCAGAGGAACGAGATCAACGAGTGGGGAGTCGATCCAGTGCAATGCCCAAATTATTTCTTCTGGGATCAAGCGGAAGGACATCATGAACTAATTGGCGCGGAGGAGATAATCTCGACTTCGTCGAATATGGGAGATTTGATGATCTCTCATTTTCCTTCATCTATATGACTTCAAAACTACACAATTTATATTACTACTAATCCATGATTTATCAACCCTGCCATGCATGTGACTGCTTTGTTTTATTTAATATTATATATATATATATATATATATATGCTTGTCTTATTATTTTCTTGATTTTTTTTTTGATTTTAACTTTTAATGTATGTATGCATGTGTATATGATTTTGAGAGGGTGGGATGAGAGGTACATATAGTATTGAAAGAATGTGTGTGGGTGTTGTTTTATTTTTCTTGATGAATAATGTAAAGAAGAGTTTGGGGTGAATTAATAAAGGATGATGATATTTTTTTCAAATTTTGTGCAACACAAGTGTGTAAGTGTTTGTGTCACGGGTGAAAGTCGGAACGGAATTTTCGATTTCCGCCGATTCTATGATCTCAAATTTTCCAATTCTGGAACACTTCTTCTTTCTTTTTTTTTTTTTTTTTTTTTTTCGATTTCTGAAAATCTGATTCCTATGTTTCTTAATATTTTTGGATTCAAATTACAAGTATACTTAGAATTTTTGGAATTTTCGATTTCTGATCCTATTTAACTTTCCGATAAAATTCCGAATTTCTGATTTATTTTTCACATATTATTGAGGGATGGAAAACGAAATTCCTTACGTTTGGGGGCAGAGTGACGTTGATTAAATCGGTTCTAGCCAGTACCCCCATATACACACTCGGCTGTTCCCACGTGCCCAAAACGGTGATCGATCTCCCTCGTGGAACAACTCTTCCGTCGTACAAACTATCCAAGTGTGATCAATTACTCTCAATACTCGGCGATTCGTACGGGAATTTGCATGTTCGTGCTCCACGAAAGCACGATGTGGGGCTGTTTTTGGCGATGGCGGCATGCAACGAGTATTATACAGCGGGTCAAAGCGCTTATATACGAGTGGCTGCTATTGGCTTTTGCCCCAAAAAGCTCTCCTCTCCTCTCCTGCCCAATCGGAGATCCTTAGCAGCCTTGGGCTCCATATTGCAACAGTCAAACAGAAATTCGGCCGATGGATACGGTGGGTCCCTCCTGCCGATGGGTCTAATTATAAGCTTAATGTAGATGGTTCGTCTCGAAATGGCGTATGTACTGGTGAGGGATTCTGGAAGTAATATGGTGGCGGCGGCCTTTTCAGTTTGTTATGGCACGGGCACGAATAATATGGCCGAAATCTATGCGCTCAACGACGGCTTAAAATTATGCCTTGCCTTGGGCATTACCGACATGATTATAGAGACCGATTCTCAGTTGGTGGTTAAAGCGGTTACCGAGGGACACCCGTTGCATTGGGATTTAACTTATGCTCGTCGGGACACCAGAGTATGCTCTATGTTTAGGTGGTGTTTGCAAATGATTATTTAAAAGCAGAAGTTAGTGATTGTGATTTAAGTTAGTTTTAAGTGCTTATTTCTAAAAGTTGGGGGTGTTTGCAAATATTTCGGAAAATGAACTAAAATTGAAAAAGCAGGGTTAGGGGTGCTTTTAAAAAAATAGCTTAAAGCAGATTATTTTAAGAGAAGCAAAAGCAAAAGTTGATTTTGCAAACACCTAAAAACAGATTATGAGCAAAAAAAACCGCATAATCACTTTCAAAAAACATTTGCAAACACCACCTTTAGTCTAGAATTTTTTATATTTGCTAGTTTAGCCCATTTTTTGGGCCTTTATGTAATAGTTGATAGTAGGGTTTTCATTATTCCGTTTTTATTCTTGACACTCTAGGGGTACTCTTTTCATTGTGTTGGCTCACAAGGTGTTTAACGAGGCCCTCTTGTACTCTCATAAGTATTTAATGGAATAAAACATTTTTTGTAAAAACAAAAATAGCAAATCTTTAAATATTTTTGTTGCTTTCATAATTATTTACACGATTTAATGATCAGTTGCAAATTGATAGTTGATAGTAAAATTTGAATATGTTTGTATATATAAATTAAAACTTATATATGTTTATATAGCATATTTATAATTATACCCCTATAATTTTAATATTTACATGTTTCTCCTAAGCTCCCGTATCCGATTTTTTTGGAAATGCCGTTCTTCCGTGTCCGTTTCCCCGTGTCCCCATATCACCGCTTCCGTGCCCGTACTACATAGGTTCCTGTACATATTATTTATCAAGAATTTCATGCGCTACCCGATTAAAAAAAATATTGTTGAAATACAATCCTTAATTCTTATATAGAAATTAGGGATGGGGTTTTATTTAGGGTTACCTGAGAGAAAGATGAAACGAAGGAGACTGGTGGGAAGATGATGCGAGTCATGTGAAATCATGGTGGCAACAAAAGATTAGAATTTTGTCTAATTGGCGAAAAAGTCCTCATATTATAAACATTAGTAACAAACCACCCTAATGTTTTGTTTAACAAAGCACAATGCTCTAATTCGAAAATTAATTGTAAAATTATCCCGAATAAATTTTTTAATATTGTTTCAAGGGTAAAATACAGTTTTCATCCTCAAGTTTGCACCGATTTCACATTTGGTCATTTATGTTTACAAAAAAACATATTTAATCCCTCATTTTAAAAAAATCAACATTTTTAGTCGTTTATGTCAATTTTCCGTTAAAACTAACGGAATCAATCGTGTGCCCATCAACTACTTAACTGACGGACTAATGGTAAATTGACGGAAAAGACAAAAAATGTTAGATTATTGAAACATAAATGATCAAATGTGTATTTTGTGAACACGGGGACCAAATGTGAAATCGGCACAAACATGATGAATGAAAACTGTTATTATACCAGTATTTCAATTATAAACAAAAAAAAATGAAAAAATATATAAATTATATATAAGGTAAAATACAGTTTGCACCCCTGTACTATGAAAAATGTCGCATTCACCCCCCTGTAGTATTAAAAACTACAAAACCCCCCTTATTTTTAACAGCCAGTCAACAAAAATTTGACGGCGTTAAATTTTTGCAGTGCAATTACTAATATACCCTCTTTTTTTGTCTTTTACTTTCTCGAAAATTCTCAGTCACCCACCATCAATACCCTCTCTCTTTTTCTTTTACTATCTCAAAAATTCTCAGAAACCCACCACCAAAATCAAGAGGTGGAGACGATGATTTCACCACCCCATCACCATCGATCCCCTCTTGTCGAAAAGATACACAATCACCGCCGTCGGTACACCACCACCATCGATCCCCTCCCTTCAATACGTCGTCACCTTTGCCTCGACCACCGCCGCTGCAGACTTCGGATGCCGTAGCCCTTCCGCATCACCAAAAGATCGCCGGCTGATCAAGGTGGGGTTCTTTTGCAGGGAATCACGACCCTCTCCACAAAATCATTCGTATAAGGTTGTTACCTTCACATCGAATCCCCAAACACAAAAAAATCAGCACTGTTTCACAAAATACGGTGATGGGTTCTTGTAGTACGAGGGGATTAGGTTGGAATTGGTGGTTGTTGTTGGTGGTGGGATGGAATTTGAATGATTTTTAGAAGATGGTGAAGAGAAATGTTGCTGAATTTTTGTATGGGAAGAGATTTTTTTCTAAATTCCGATGGTGGGATGGGTGAGGCTAGGAGGATACTTGTATGTATATATTTATATTTCAATTTATAATATTTATTGAATTTCTATAATAAAGTATTTTTTTTATATTTTTTGTTATTTTATAAATTATCAGAGCATATTTTATTATTTAGTAATTTCTATTAATGTTTTTAATAAATTTATAATTTGGAATTTAAAATTTTCAAAATTATAATTATTTATAAATCAATAATTGAAACCTGAAGTTTTAATTGTTTCTACGATTTATAATTTTTTGTATCTTTTTATTAATTGTATAAAATAGTATATATATATATATATATATATATATATATATATAGATATATATATATACTATATTTTATAAAATATGTTATTACAATAAATGTTTGATAATAAAGAAAAGAAAATCTGTATTATTTGAAATCTGAAATTTTACAGCTTTATATTTTTATAATATTTATAGATTATATAGTTTACTAAATTTCTATGATAAATTATTTTATTTTTTTACTGAATTTTTTTGCAATTTGAAACTCAAATTGTATTTTATCTCTCTCACACACACACACACACACATATATATATATATATATATATATATATATATATATATATATATATATATATATATATACACACACGGTAAAGGGACAAAAAAGTCCAAAGAATGAAACAAATAAATGTGGTCAATATGCCACCTCAGCTTGAACTAACAGAATAGTTAACGTCAGGGGGTATTTGTAGATTTTGATAGTACATGGGGTGAATGCGACCTTTTCGATAGTACAAGGGTGCAAACTGTAATTCACCCTTATATATATGCATGAAAAAGTAATAATAAAAAAAAGTATTCTTCCCCTACTGAACCCACCCACCAACCTTTTCATATATACAACTTCCGCTGCCGCACCACTAAGGCTCTGATTGGTTCATGGAAAATGATGAGTAAAAAAATGAAATTATTAGGTAAATTGATTTTCATGTTTGGTTGCAGGGTAAAGTGCTAGGTAATGTAATTAGGAGGAAAAAGTTTAAAAAAAATTACACTAAAATTAGGAAAATACATTTTCCTCAAAAAAAGTGAGGAAAATTCCATGTAAATCTCTTCTTCTCTCTTCTCTCTCTCCCTGTTTTCTTCTTTTCTCTCCTCTCTCTTAGCCACGCTTCTCTCTCTCCTCTCTCTATCTCTTCTCTCTCCTCTTTCTCCCTCTTTTTCTTTCCTCTCTTCTCTTCCTCTTCTCTGTCACACACATTATAACAATAAATTATTTAATTAGATTAATATTCACAATTTTTTTCTTTTTTTTTTTAACTTAACAGTTGTTTTTTCTTACGTCTTTGATAGAACATAAAATTACTCCATTTAATAATTCATTGTCATTTTTACCCTTTTTTCCTAGAAACCAAACAAAAGTAAGTAAAATAATTTTTCACAAAGTCATTTTCATCACCATTTTACTTAGGAATCAAACACAAGTGGGATTTCAAAAGTCCTTGATTTCCTTTTTCTTTAAATTTTCATTTTCCTTATTTTGAAA